ATATCTTCAAAAATTGAGTCGCCCGTGTGGCACAGTGGTTAGAGTGTCTGCTCTAGAGTCGCAAAGTAAGGAGTCGATCATTACCACGCGGGTTCGAATCCTACTGTGGGACGTGGAGACTGAACTCTCGGATGAGACCGTATAAACCGAGGTTCCGTGTCGCAGTAGGTGCTGGCACAAAAAAGATCCATCCATTCCCAAGGGCCCAAGTGCCGAGTATAGGACAAAATTTGCAGTTCTCTACCGGCAAGTGGTGACGCCTCCATGTGAGTGAAAAATTCTCGAGAGGGACGTTACACAATATAGAATCAAACAATCTTCAAGAAATTAACTGACTGCCGTCATGAGAAAAGGGCCCTTATCTTTTGACGTCACAATGCTCAGAAAACGACGTCAAAGTTGCGTTATTGTAAACACGGAAGTAAAAAAAAATGTCAACTGCGTTTCGTGATCCAGAAATAAAACTAGATTTCAAAGTGTAATAAAAAATTGAAATTTGATGCGGACATTTTTAATAGGTATACAGAATGATATTTTTACTATTTAATACGTGAATTTTTTCATAATTCTGTGTAAGTATTTAACTTGATGTTGATATAAGCGACACTGGACATGCACATTGTTAGGAACAGCGATTAAAACAATTTCTTTTCATGACTAAATTAAAGATGCTGCATATGTGTTTTTGAGAAATTTCCAAATGCTTAAATTTGAACTCATGTTAAGAAGTCTTAATATTAAAAGGTATATTCCATACACGTCATTGTACTTTTTTCAGAGAGAGAGAGAAAGTGCGAGCGAGAGGTCTAAGCACTTATTATATTACTGTTCTTATAAGCGCTTCTTTTTTTCTGAAAAATATATACCATAATTTAAAATGTATTTAGCCATTTTAATTTTAATTAATCCATAGTGAATCATACTGATAAACCCCGATAGCCAGCCTACTGTGAAATGTCGATTTTAAAATGTGTAAAAAAAAAAAACGGGGGGTGGGGGTAAGTAGACAAGCAAAAAGATCTCCGAATAAAAAGACAACAGGTTAAAGTTCAAGCTAGAAAACCATACCCCTCTTTGACTGGATATATATTCTGGTAACATGGGAGATGCAATTAAACCTTCTACATCAACAATAAATAATTCTTTACTAAATCAACAGTAAGAGAATATTCTAAGGGGAAAAAAAACGGAAGATGGGAATGCCATGAAAATTTTGCTAAATATAAATTTTGTTTCAAAAACTAATTTAAGATGATCCAATAAATACATGTTTCAATTTTCTTAAATTGTTCCGATGAAATGAATGAATGAAATCCCACTCGAAACTGAATTGCAATATATTTAGAAATTAAATACAGCTATTGTAGACTTTTCCCAAAAACATAATACCCAATTTTAAGAATTAATAATATTACATCGACAGTGATATTATGAATAAGGATATTTATAAACCAGGGCAAAAAAACCACTATAGATTAAGCGAAAAGATAGCTGAAGAAGTGTAGCTTTCCGAAAAAATCCGGCAGACCGGAGAGCTACAGTGCCACCCATGGTAAAAACTGTATATTTATTGCGCACAAAAAGTTGCGCTTAGTTCTGGATTAATTCATCCAAATTCTAACCTCAATCTCGAAAAAGATAGATTTAAAAGAAAATGCCTTACTCCTCTACATGTATAAAGTACTCTCGTAGTTGACATCTGCACGAAGTATGTTGGACGGAATATCTTTCAAACCAAAATGGCAGTATAAATACACGAAATTTTTGATGATCTCAATTTCAGGGCCAGGAGGGCTATCAACAATTCTAAGCGATGTTTTGTTATGAAAGCAGTGAAATAATATGTTAGGAACACACAATACGTAATATTTGAGATTGCATTGAAATAAATAGAGAAACAGCGCACTTTTTTGTGCGCAATAAATAAACAGTTTTTTTTAAATGGGTGGTACTGTAGTTCTCTGTCAAATATTTTCTTCTGAGAGCTACAGTTCTGCAGCTAGCGAAAAGACGTACAAATTTCTGGCTTAAATGTCAGATATGGGGACATCTTGTGAGAATCAGTGCAATAGCAAAAAGTATGTGACAAGTGGTTATGGGTGTAATTTCCAAAAGAAAGAAGTCTTAATTTTAGAATGATGAAAAAATAAATTTAAGCACTGGTGATGTTCATTGCGGAAAGAAGGACGTTCGTGCAAAACTTTAATGAGCGTGAAATATATTTCACTGACTACGGAATTTTTGATATGAAGTAAATAAGTCTCGTTTTACGCTGAAATCTTCAACTCTGATATATTTACATGTATCTAAATACCCAGCATATCTCGACATTCATTAAATTACCGTTGAAATCGAAATACTGAAGTTTATATCATAATCCTAAAAGGACTCTAAGGAAAGGAATTAATAAACAAACTCAAATATTTTTGCACTGAAAGTAAAATACTGTCTATATTACAGTCGCAGCAAGTAGCATCGGGGAGGGGGGGGCTACATTGAAAGTCCGGTTCCCCCCCTTTTTTTTGTTGCAGCATAGTCAAATTAGTGCACAATAGGACAAAAGGCAGTGTATTATGTTTGATTAAGAAAAAATGATACTGCAAGAAGTCTGAACCTAACCCACTAACACCCCCCCCCAACGGCGAAACTGAATTCGAGTTTTTTTTTATGGTAAATTGAATTTTTATTCTGGCTATCCCCCACACTCTTTTCAAACGATGCTACGTCACAGAGTTGGGGGGGGGGGGGGCAGGCGAAATCAAGTCATATATTTTTTTTTGAATTTCGATATATCGATAAAGTAGTATGTTTTGAACTAATAACTAGGTAAGATTATTACTTTACCGCATCGCCTCATACAAAAAAACCAAACGTGTGTTGGACGTAATATTTCATTAGTGTGCATATATAAAAAAAAGAGACAAGAACAGTGCAATTAACCATCTCTTATCAAGTTATACAATGAACATAAATCATTTTTTGAGATCATAGTAGCGGTCCTTGTAAAAAAAAATATATATACAAATGTTATGTTCAAGTGAAATAGGGTATGGGTGTCTCAAAAAAAAAAAGGTGAATGTGTAGAAATATTTGTGACCGATTTTAAGTGTGATTTACTAAAAAAATAAGAAGTTAAAAGTTTCAAAAGTTAGGTATAAGTTCAAAGAAAATTTCAATTTAAGGTACGGTATATAAACCATTCATAAGACAATCCTTTGTCAACATCCTTTGCGTCTTTATATTGTTTTTACTCCATAACTAAGACAGGCGAAGAAAATAATTTGTATAAATAATTGAAGCTTAGTGTTTTAAACATTTTTAATAAAATATTCAAAAAAGTAAACTTAAAAAATTCGCTCTCATGGAAATAGCGGACATGAATTAAATTCATGCATTCATATTTTTTTTTATAAACGGAATAAACATTTTAAAAACAAGTTTTACATACCTTGGCGTATCTGCATTTACATGTATTTCTCATTTTGCGGTGATACAGAACATATATGGTGTTTTGATCCTATCCTAACAGTTATAGGGAAAAAAGCTACGTGTGTGTGTGATGGTTAGTGAATGATGAATTTTGATGACTGATAAGAAAATAATTTTCTTTTTTAATATCGGGATCGAAGTTTTTTTTTTTTTTTTTTTTTTTTTTGCGAGGGGATGTCCCGTTTTGCGCGCGGTGTCCTTCTGGGATTCTCTCTCTCTCTCTCTCTCTCTCTCTCTCTCTCTCTTTTAATGTTTATATGTTACAGGTGCTTTATATATATTATAAGTTGAGTTAGATTATTTTATATTAAAAGAATAATTTGTATGGATTTAAACAAGTATTATTTTTCTTACTAAATACATATTATAAATCGTTCCTAGATTTTGTCTAGACCCACATCCCCCTTAACGATATTACTAGATCTGCTCTAAAATAGTATGAAAATAGTAATAAAATATGAAATCTCTTAGAAATAGTCACATACTAGTTGCCAGGAAAAAAATATTTTCTGAAGTTTATAATTCTCAAAAAGATTGAGTTATTTCTATATCGTTATTTTAAGAATTTTTGGAAATTGAATTAGACGCAGTCGACGTCACTACGTTTTCAGCGAGTAACGTCAAAGTTAATTAGGCGCGCCTTACTAAAATGCCTATAAAATACTGAAAAAGTGAGATATTTTCAAAATTTATGTATATTTGCATTCAGAAAGAGTTCGGCTATCAAAATTTACCAAAAAGTAAATTTATGAAAATTTGACCTTAAGGGCCCTTTTCTCGTGACGGCAGTCAACTTAATTTGCAAGCGTCATGCAAAAAAAAGTCTTCTATTTTTTTCAATTTTCTCTTTCTTCCGAGATGGTGTCTCTTTAAATTAAGGGATACAGGGGCATCACTGTTTTTATACTAATGTTATCATCTCTAAATTTATATATAAATGCAAATATTCAACACAGCCTGGTAATATGTTTTATTAAAAATATAGCGTAGAGTATGATGTTCATATTTTGTCTATTTATATGAACAGCATTGAAGAAAAAATTGAAATCGAATTCCAAAGTATTTTTAAACATCATATTTTATATTTTATGTTTCTAATGTTTGAAAATACTTTTAAAAGAATAGGATATTTGACACTTTAATTAATTGTTGAGACAAAGAAGAAAGTTTGAAACCATCGACATCATACCATCATCATAACCGTTTTATCATTAAGAATAATTAATTTTTTTTTTCAAAGTCCGTCTTTTCTACAAATGATATACAAAATAAATAGTTACAAAAAAAATCTTAAGAAAAAAAAATGCATGTAACAGAAATTGGACGATAGAACTTCTTGGGTAAAATTGCATCGAGCATATATTTTGAATAGCACAGTGTATATCCATTAATTTCAGTATAATAATTAAAATTGATTAAAGTAATTTGTTATACATCTAAATGTACATTTTTAATATTAGTATTAATATAATTATTCTACATATCCAATTTTTGTATTTATACATCAATACCTCTAAGCAAATTAGGTAACTCCACCATTATTAAATCATCGCTTTCACGTTCTGTAGGCCACCTCAAATACTCAATACACCAAAATATATTTTTGATATCGTTCGGGAGTCTCTCTAACGGTATATCGTCTTTGATGATGACAACAATGGAACTCTGACGCTGGTTATGGAAGGCGTGAGTAACCGCCATCTGGACGGCGTATGAGGCCCAACCACTCTCCAGAAAACATTCGGTGATCACAAACAACACTTTTCGACTTTCATTTATACATTTCACTATTTCTTCTGCCTCCCATTTTCCTGGAGTTGAATCTTTATCCTTAAGCCACGCCTTGATGTTCAAACTTTTTAATTTTTGGTACAAAGAATGAACAATCGACATAGAGTCTTATTCAGAATAAGACACAAATACATCATAAATGTAGTTGTTTTCTCTCTTCTGTAAATGTACACCCTTCCATCTGTTTTTAAGTCGCAGTATAACATATTCCACGTGTATACGGTATCTTCGTAAAACAGTTACTATAATAAGTACAGACAAAGTAATCAAGATCAACACTACAGAGAAAATAAGCCATTATTTAGTTTGGCATTCTTTATCGAATTTTTTCCAGATTTGTTCATTATCAAATAAGTGGTTGACAGGTACTCGGTTCCCTGCGCATAACGTTTTATCAATATCAGAAAATACATGTTTGTGACTTCTCATCCATCTCAAAGACTGAATAGCTGAACAGGTACAAGAAATCGGATTGCCTTCTATAAAAATTGATATTGCAATAAATGTTTTAATGATATTTTGGTCATTATTTGAGAACTCCGATATCAAATTGTATCGCAAATGCAGATATTTCAAATTCTGCATAAATTTGAAAGTGTCAGGAATGTTTGAAAATTTGTTATTGTCTAAGTTTATTTTTATTAAAGAATGATGCTGGTCTTTCAAAAGAGAGAAAGGTGAATAATTCAATTTGTTTCTTGAAAAATCGATTGAAGAAAGATTTTTTAGATTTCTGAATATATTTTTCGAATTTGATTTTTCTGTGAAATTTAGATTCATGCCAATCGCATATAAGCTCTGAATTCCTCGAGAATGCTGAAATAAATCTGAGTGTACTTTTTCAAAGCTATTACCCGATATGTTGAGAGTTTTTAGTGAGGGAAAATCAAATTGGTCGACGTATGCCAGAAAAAAATTTGTTTCTTGAATGTACAATTTTTGTAATCTTACACCGATAAGTTTGAAACTTGGTGTCCATCTTTTTACATTATGTATATAATTTCTCGAAATGTCTAGAAGTTCAAGATTTTTCGACAGTGTTATATTTATAGAGATTATTGATCTATTATATTTATAGATACTCAACTGGTTTTCCAAGGGTTGTGGGCCATTGCAACACACATTTATATGGTTTTCCAAGGGTTGTGGGCCATTTTTGGAGCTGATAACACAGTAAAGAAGTATGACATATCCACACCATGCAAATGATTTCTTCTTAAATCTATATACTGTAGGCAATTCAAAAAAGTTGTATTGTCAATATGAAAATTGATATAGTTAATGCCATTGCCAACCAAAGATAAGGTACTGGCACAGACATTGATAAGATATTCTGACAACCACTCATCTAAAACTATGACACCTGTTTCAAGATCTTTAGTGTTTTCATCCATAAAAATTTTACCAATATTTCGATGCTGGAAACATTTAAGAGAGCGCAAGGCCGGAGTAATGTCACATTTCCCACCAAAGTCAATTGTAACCTCTTCTGTTAGATATGGAAAGGAACAAAACAGATCTTCAGTGACGTCACAAAATACGTGACCATGAAAAAACATATCAAGGCGATAAATGTTGGAGCGCCGGAGTCCTAAAAATGATGTATTTGCCAAGCTTAAATCATTCAAAATATGAAACTTTAATTCAGATAAGTTTGTTAAGTTTTCAAATGGTGCTGTAAATGAAAATCCGCTGAAAATGTCGATATGAAGACTCGATAATGACTGAATTGCAGAAAGGGCAACATCCGGGTATCCATCTGACTGGAAATTATTTTGATCAAGTCGAAGGAACTTTAGGTTGTGTATATAGGAGAAAGCTTCAACTTCTATTCCGTTTTTAACAAGCTCACAACTTGAAAGATCTAGACTGCATAAACTAGAAAGTCTATGGAAGGTCTTATTTTCGATGTTTGTAATTTTGTTATGATTAAGGATTATGGATGACACAACAGAAAACCCAGCAAGATTTTTAAACGTCATTTCTGTTGAAATAGAAAATCTATTAAATGACAAATCCAAAATCCCATAGCGGTTTCGTAACTTTTGTGGTATTTTTTCGGGGATTCTGTCTGCATTAAGTCCACTACAGTTCCATAGAACTCCAAAGTTGCCACATTCGTCCGTGTATGGCGCTGTTGGACAGAGGAATGAAATAACAACCACACTGCAAACTGCAAAAGAAGTTCATACGATCATAAAGCGTTCTCTTTTTTACTCTTAGGTAGATAGTGTAAATTCGCAATAAGTATAAAGAATAGAAAAGAATTCTTTGTTACTTTTTATTCTCTGTATTTTTAATTTAAATAAAAGACGAAAACGATATAATTGTGTTCATACTCGTACATGTAGTGTGTGTTTTAAAAGTTAAAAAGCAATTCAGCATACCCCAATTCTTGATTGCACGCAACGGCGGATATGACTTGAAGAAAGATTTTATATGAGAAAAAAATAACAAGTTAAAACAAATTCTGGGAACTGGACTAGAGGGGTTGAATGATATGATCATTGTAAACTAGAAGAGTTCGTTAGAAGATTTAATCACAAACGTTTCTCTAAAATTTTACTAAAAGGACTAAGATGGTTATTAATGCAAATGATTATTTGAATTTATCTCAGAATCTTTGTAATAATTTGTTTATTTGTTTATCTAATTATTTATTCATCAACAAGTAATTGATTGGTGTACAGTCCAGACAGGACGATACGAAGGTAAATTAATCATCATTGAACTGGGGTTTATTGTTATTTTTATCAAGGATATCCTGATTAGATCAGCATTAAGATTAATCACTTGCACAATCTATAGATTATGGAATCCAAAAATAATTAAATGAGACTCAGATTGATTGCTTGTATATTGTTTAACGTCCCTCTCGAGAATTTTTCACTCATATGGTGACGTCACCATATGCCGATGAAGGGCTTCAAATTTAGACCTATACTCGGCACTCAGGGCCATAAAAAAGTCATATGCTGTATTAATATGAAGGCATTCTAAAGTAGTATTAATTTCAAGCCCCCCCCCCCCTTTCAGTAAACTTTTCAGTTCTGATCTGATTTGTTTTTTTCCTAGATGATTTGGTCAGGTGAGCGATTTGGCCCCTGGCCTCTTGTTTTTCTATTCTTCTTGTTATCAACGCAAATGCAAAGAAACTGAGTAAATGTTACGGGTAGAAATTTTATATTTCATTTAAAGATTAGGGAGTTTTCGGATACAATGTATTTAATTTTACAATATGCCAAATACTGGCTCACGTTTTTCTAATTATGAAGATCGGGCTGCATCTCTTAGGCATTTAAATGGTCAAAAGGTTTTCTTGTACGTAAATGTAAAAATACCCATGAAGAGATGTCTTTTTCGTCAGGAAATTCACCTGACAATTGTATTTACAGATAATACATAAAAAGGAATAAACCCTTTGGTATGTCTTTGAGAAACCCAGAACTCCACATTTATGAAATAAATAAATTGTTTATAATTGTGAATATTGAGATAAACGAATAAAAGTAAGTCCTTCGGGCGTTATAGAATTTGATCACGTGACCGACTCCATCTCATACTCCAATGAAACTCTAAAAATCATATCTTATTTCTTAAATGACTGCAGAAAATAATGTCGTAAAGATAAACTTATTTAAGTTTAAATGGATTCAAAGGAGATTGAAGTTTATTTCCATAGATATTGAAGGGTGACGAAAAGTAAAACCCAACATAACTTTTCTGTTTACCATGTCCGTGAATAATTTACCTTATACCTCTGTACTCTCACTAAATCTGATAAGAGCTACCTTGAACCCCTAGTGTTTTATAATTTGCAGAACACTGATATATGAAAGGTTCCAAACACTTTGTCAGGAGTAAAACAATTTGAATTTTATATACAGCATTAGTACTGTATCTAGTGCTTGAAATAACAGATATTTCAACAGCTAAATAGCGTCGTTCAAAATCAGCAGTTCGTATTAATTAACTGTTCGTTATATGATGACTTTTCTTTGTAGAAAATACATGTATAAACTTTTATTGCGCTGCATTTTGCTAACTTCTTTAAATCATATTTCATACCAATCGTAAGTTTTTGTTTTTGTACTGAGAAAAAAATAATTTTCCGTCAACCTGATTGATTGGGCCTAATGTGCGTTATCACTCACATAGGATGGTTTTTCTTACTAAAAAATAGATACTCGGCGTTTTTCCTTTGGAATTTTCAAAGCTCGTGTTAAATTTCTTCTTCTTCTTCTTCTTCTTCTTCTTCTTCTCATATACTATTAACTTTTCCCCTCAGATTTATTCTAATACATCAAAGTTTTGGATAACCTTAAAGAGTGTTTGACTTAAAGAATCGTGCTATATTTAAATTCATAGATGATAATTACTTTTTGATCACTCTTTTCTTAAGCACTACTCAAATTTTATTTTCAGAAGACTCAGAAAGTATTAAAGAGCTAAATCCACGAAGTGCAAACTCGGCACAGTCATCAAAATATATAAGACTTTCTCACACATTTACTCTGAATTGTCTTTTGTAAAAACATTTTCTTTTTCAGAATATCTTTTCTGGTTTTCTTTGTAATATTGACAGATATCAGATGAATACCTGCCTAAACCAATGTTTTATAGCAAAGTTCATGTTAAGGCATTGATTTAATTTACCACTGCTAATTTTGGCTTTTGTGTTTTTCTATAGTCGTATGGTGTATTGTTTGTAAATTTAAAGCCTTCGAGCATAATCTGAGATCCTTGTTGTGCTTAAAGTACAAATGTGGTGCCATGTTTGAGAGACGGCAAAATAACTTAATCGACGGTAAGTAAATATCGGAATATCATATAATATAATACATAATGAAACCTGTATTTCTATCTGTTTTGAGATTTTATTCCTCTAAGAAGTATTTACATTGTAGAATTCAAGATAACCAGTTTTGAAGTATCATGGCAACATTCAATGATCCGTTAGGCCAAGCACAAGATGTAAAACGGTGTCAGCTTTGTCCTGGAAAAGACAGAAAATCTGCTGCTGAAACTTGTTGCAATTCCTGTCAAGTTAACCTATGTAAAATCTGTGTAGGAAACCATGTTATATCTGATCCTGACATGAAACACGATGTTGTCACTTTCAAATTTAAAAAATCTGAAGTCATACCACCCCAGTGTAGCTTCCATGACGAAGAAAAATGTGACAAATTTTGTGAACAGTGCGATTCTCCATTCTGTCTGAAATGCCTCAACTCTGGAGCACATAAAAGTCACAATGTCCAGTCAATTTCTGAAATATACAAGTCCAGACAGGACAAAATTACAAAAGACAATCTAGAACTTGAAACTGAAATCGCACCGGTGTATGATGCAATTTTATCTGAAATAGAAACAATGACATCAAATGTCCTCCAACAACATGAAGATAGAACTCAATCAATAAAAAATCTTGGTGAAAAATGTCATAGGCTTGTAGAAAATGTCATCAGAAGATATGCGAATGTTTTGAAAGAAAGATACAGTCAAGATAATAAAAACTTGTTGACGTTAAAAAGCGAGTTCCAGAGGCTACAATCCTTAATACAGTCAGCTATAGACGAAAAAAAATCCATTCTATCTTCCATGGATTCATCCAAACTTATCCATTATATTTCCAGAAATGAAGACTTTATCAATATACCACCAACGTTTGAACTAACAGTTCCAAATTTTACCCCAGTTGAGATTACAGAACAAGTACTGTTTAAAATGATTGGTGAAATTCCAGAGACAATTAAATCTAACATTCAAGGAGAAGTTATTAGAGTTGTTCAACCCATAGTACAAGTACATTCAGAAAACCAGACAAGAATTTCATTGACGAACCTCAAGTAATAAGAACCATAACCCTTGGTAATGGTAAAAATTACAGAATAGAGTGTATTCCAAACACAAACGAATTTTTTATCTTTTGTGAAAGCCAAGCCATCTATCATATGAACATAGAGGGTAAAATATTGGATTCTATCTATTCTGGGCCCAGAAAAATGCCATTAGACTTGGCAGTAACAAAAGAAAAATATTTAGTATATATCAATAGCTGGATTCAATGTATAATATTAAGAAAGAGCAACAAAGAACAGAGTTTAATTTCACTTCATAATTGGAATCCATTAGCGATTTGCTTTACCTCCACAGGTGAATTACTGGTTGCTATGAGATCGGCATATCCATATAATGACCACGGGCATTGTAAAGTAGTCCGTTACAGTGGCTCTTCAGCCGTGCAAGAAATACAATACGTTAACGGAGACGAATTTTTATATGGTAGTCCAAGGTTTATCGAAGAAAACAAAAACTTTGATATAGTGGTGAGTGATTCCGTTCCAGACCAGGTGGTCGTAGTGGATAAGATGGGCAAGTTAAGATTTAAATACAAAGGAAATTTTCCATCAAAATCGAAATTCACGCCGTGTGGTATAACCACAGATAGCTTGTGTCACATTTTGATTGCTGACCTAAGTGAACATGTTATACATATCATCGATCGGAACGGATACTTTCTCCTGTATATTTCAAACTGTCAATTACAAGAACCATATGACCTTAGTATAGATAGCAATGATAATTTGTTTGTTGCTGAGCTCGGGACTGAAAAGGTTAAGAAAATAAAGCTGTTTGAATAAACATGTTTATGATAATAAGATATTCATGGGTATTGATCTGTTTTGTATATGGCACCTTTTCTTGGCACATCTTCTTTAAATAGAACAGTCTTATGCGTTTTTTTCTTTTTGTTTTGCAAGCGCAGTTTCTAGTGTCAGTCGCAATTTTATTAGTTCTCGGAGGAATTACCCAAGAAAATAAGTAAGTTGTTTGGTATTTTTACGTACTGAAATACACTTGGATTGATATTAAATAATTTGACTCAATGACTAAATCCCCAAAGAAGTATTGTTGGCAAGGACATTTGTCCCATCTTTTCAATCGCATTCTGTATATTATGTAAGAATAACAAACCCTCCTTTGAGAAATACTTTTATCATGTACATTACATTTTCAATAAATATTGTATAATTGTTTGAGAAATATGTTTATAGAGTTTTTCTTTGTCTTAATTGTTTGAGAAGAATGTTTACTATGTTTTGATTTCTCTTATTTGTGTTTATAACTTGTTTGATTATTCTTTCATTTACTTTACAAAAAAATGACATCTTCTATTCCTCTACTCAATGTTGTCTTATCTTTAATAAAGAGGTTATGTTTAATCAGGTACCAATAATTTTCTCAAATTTTTTCTCACGATTTTGATCCAGATGTTTATGACAATAGATTCTCTCTTTACAAAATTGATGAAAATAATTAAAAAAACCCTTCTTTTATAGCTTGATAAATAAAGGTGTCTTAAGGTAGGATTCTTTTCTGGTTTATGACTTTCTTAAAAATTTATCTACAGTAAAATTTTCACGATTTTGAAAAACTATTTTTTTTTATCATAGGATTCTTTTCTGGTTTATGACTTTCTTAGTACACGATAAAAACTATTTTTTTTTATCATTAAGGTCTTCCGTTTCCAACAGAAGACCTTCTACTGATTCTGTTGGTAAAGATTATTATGTCGCCCCGAACGAAGTCGGGGACGACATATTGATATTGTACGCATGTTTTTTTTATCCAGGCTGTTTCTCGGAGATGGCTGGGACAATCTTCCTGAAATTTTCCCCAAAGGACGATCACTGGTTGTAGTTGTGCAGTGAGGTCGTTCAGTTCCAATATGTCTACCGTTGCCATGGAAACCTGGTGCAAGTAAGTGACGAATTTTGTCCGTGAGTGTCTGGTCCTTAAACGTTCGTCATAAACTCTTTTTATTTTAATGATTAGTATCTATATAGTTGTGCGCTTTGCATTTAAAATTTTCAAATAATCGATTATTGCCATGAAAACCAGGGGAATGTTAAAATTCTTTAATTTCGATTTTCTCAATAACTACTCAAGCAATCGTTTTGAAACTTTCAATGTTACTTCCTTGCAATGTGTCAAAGTGATTTCTACTTTTAAAATAATTGAAATGAGTCGCTCACAGTTGTCATAGAAACGAAACATAAAAAAAGGTTAAGATGTACACATGTGTTCTCCAAGGTCTAGGTCAAAGGGTCAAAGTTCTTCGTGTCCAATAAAAGTTCATTTCACAAGGATTGCATATTTGAAATACGAAAGCCGCGACTGTTTAAACATTAGGTACTATGTTCAAGACTAACCCCCCCCCCTTTTTGAGGCGCACTGCCAGGTAGAATACACAGATATAACATATACAATTTACAGGTAACGTTTTAAAAGTTTCATTCACAAAATTCAGTTCTCCTGATGTAATTTGATAGTTTGCCAACCTTCATTCTTCTTCTGTCCTGTCTCTAGATTTTATAATTAGTTTATTTTATCTATATAAAAAATAACGATTGTCAGCTGCATTTATTAGCATTTCGCGTTTTTTTTTTGTATTTCTTTTAGTTGTTTATTATTAATTTAATTAGATAGTGCAAGTATAAAATAGAAAAATTGGTACGTTATTTCCATACTTTTTATTCATTCATAAATCCTTGGATCCACGCCTACAGGTGCGCAAAGCCTTGATCACTACTGTAAACAAAACATTCAAATCGCCGAAAATGTTCATGATTCCGCTAAACTGAGAAAGTTTACACATGATTTATCATCTCATAAGAACATCAGCTCTGTGCAATGCAGAAATGCTGGAATTGAAGGTGTCAGGTCAGATTCGTTTTCCGGCAAACC